GCCGCTCCGTCTCCGATGTGGCGCGCCCCGCCTCGTCTGACATCAGCAGCTCCGCCTCGGCCTGCGAGCCGCCCCCGCCGCGACCCTGCCCGTCGCCCTCACCCCGGTCACTGCTCGAGTCGCAGGACAGGAACTCGTCCTCGGATGGGCTCCGGTCGCCCTCCCGCTTCTCATCTGTGTCGCTAGAGTCTGAGTCCCGCGTGTCAGTCAGCACCGCTGCCGCCACCGCCGGCTCCTTGAGCTCCTCGTGCAGCTGGTCCATCAGGCAGCGCAGGAACTCCTGGGTGTCCTGTCGCCCTCACCCCGGTCACTGCTCGAGTCGCAGGACAGGAACTCGTCCTCGGATGGGCTCCGGTCGCCCTCCCGCTTCTCATCTGTGTCGCTAGAGTCTGAGTCCCGCGTGTCAGTCAGCACCGCTGCCGCCACCGCCGGCTCCTTGAGCTCCTCGTGCAGCTGGTCCATCAGGCAGCGCAGGAACTCCTGGGTGTCCTGCAGTGGGGGCTGTGTCAGCGGGCTTGCCCGGCCTGGGCTCCTCCTGCCACCGGGCGCCAGCCTCTGCGTAGCGGGTCCTTGTGCACACCCACGCGAGCGGGCTGCCAGCCTCTCAGAGCCACCTGCCATGCAGTGCTGCCTGACCCCCCTCTCCTGCGGGGGACACCGAGGCTCAGAGCGGCTAGGGCACCCCTCCCAGGTCACGTGGCTGTGACAGGGCAGTGCCAGATGTGCACGGGTCCTCCAACGCCCGGCTCGTGCCCTGAATCCCCTGCAGCTGTGTGCCGAGCTCAGGGCGGGAGCTGGGCATCTAAAGCCACCTGTTCCCTAATGGAGAGGCCAGAGGGGAGGGGAGCTGGGAAAGATGAAGGATTGGGACACAGTGGGAGGCTGAGGCTGAGGCTGCGCCGGGCAACACATCACCAGTGGCCAGGGCACCGCATGCTCCGCCCGCCTCTGGGTCTCCCTGCTGTTCTGGTCCTCCTCCCAGCCAGCCCTCGGAGGTGTGGCTAGCACCGC